ATATCAGGGGAATCGTATATGTTGTAAAATCATAACAAATATTAAACAGTATAATAGACTGTGTTTTTACCTAGCCCACATATGTGTTGAATCACTTAAATGTGCTATTTTGTGCCCTTAAAATTAACTATATCCTTTGTATTGGTACAAAATCACTGCAAACTGCTTAATGAAATTTCAAGGAAATTTCAAGGAAATTATGTATACAATCTGAGGAATTTAGAGAAATTTTGATGTCAAAAATGGGAAATTTTTATTTTGAAAATGGAAGCACTGGCACTGGATTATGCTGAGAAAATAAAAATGGCGGCCGTGTAAACACGGAGTGATAGCTTATACTTGTAAATATTGAAATATTTCGGTTGTTTCGGCAGTTTTTATTGAAATTTTTCAGCATAATCAGCAATATGATACCTTACTTCCCATCATCCCCTGCACGCATAAACTAAAAGCTGGAATTGCCTATTGGTTTATTTGAATGATTTTATTTCCGGCCGTTGTAGTTACGTTGGTATAGTGATAGCATCATTTAAAATTCTAATCAATACAGCCAATTGCAGTTGAGCTTGCAGCTTGCATTTTAAACGCGTTGTTATATCGTTGAAAAGTATGCGTTCATTCCTTAGAAACACGCCGTTGCTAGGGGCGTAACGTGAACTTTTGGCGGGCATTGTTGAACTTCTTACAGTGCGTCTACTGTAAGTGGGGCCACTTAGAGAACACTAACCAATCACATTGCAGAACAGAAAGTGAAAAAATCAACAAACGGCGCATTAGCCAATCAGCATTAGGGCAAAAACAATTCGAACAAATAAACGAATGTCAAACGGTAAAAATAGACATGTAAAAGTAAACATTGCAGTTAATGGCTTCCTGAATCTTTCTTTTGATTGGACGAGCTTTAGTTTGATTAGATTTTTCTTTCTGTTCTGCAATGCGATTGGTTAGTGTTCTCTAAGTGGCCCCACTTACAGTAGACGCACTGTAACGGCGTGCAAACAAACGTATAACGAGTTAAATATATTGTAAAAATGCCGCTTAAGCCTGCGACGGAACAGTAAGGTATTTTTAGAATGCCTGTAGTCAAATTAAAACTCCCTGGTCGGTTTTGTGACAAAATCTAATTTAATATGACAAAATCTAATTTAATTCGTCAACGCCAAGAATAGACAAACATGTTTACGTCGTTACAACGCGCGCCAAAAGTTCACGTTACGCCCCTAGCAACGGCGTGTTTCCAAGGAATGAACGCATACTTTTCAACGATGCAACAACGCGTTTAAAATGCAAGCTGCAAGCTCAACTGCAATTGGCTGTATTACATGTAAACTCAGATATGAAGTTATATATATTGTTTATTTCTGTGGCGGTAGTTGCATGGATCTGTCAAATATGGTACAACAATTACACAAAATGTTCGACTTCCTTAATTTACAAAACGGTATGTTTTATTATAATAAATAGTTTTATTGATGTTTATTAAAGTACAGTGCTCAGACCATAATTAAATTGTGTTATGTTTCAGGTTTAATCTTTATCTTCAATCTTATTAGAATTTCACATTAAATAGTATCACCTAATTTACAATGTGAATTACAATTAAACAATTAGTAAAAGTATATTTACAAGCAAAGTTTAATACGAGCAATTTTAAGAAGAATTGTGATGTTATTCATGTGGCTAGCCTGCGTTTAGTGCGGGCGGGAGAAGAGAGGGCGTCGTTTGATAAGAGTTTTCATTTCATTGTGATTTTGCAGTTTACATTTTTGCAAGGCAAATTATGATTTTATTACCAGGGGTGGAGTGGCTGTCTGGAAGGGGGTGGGAAAGAGGGTGCTATGCCAGTGTGGACCTGGCAGATGGATTGTATAGAATTAGTTGAGGGGGTGCACCCCTTCACTGGTATTTACCAAGTGGGGGTTAGCACTGATATTCTCCTGGAGATGTATAGCCCGGGCCCTGGAAAATCACCCCATAAAATGAGGGCTGATAAAAAGTCTGCTATGAAATTGCCAGTTACCCTGACCTAACCCCCACTTCCATCTTCACACATTGATTGTGTGAACATGGATCCACCCTGAGGGCCGTAGCCACCGTACCACAGTATTTTTTCACCAGGGGCAGTATGTAATACTGTACCTTTATGCTGAAATAAATACCCAAATGTCAATGCATTCAAGGCCATTTTAGTTGCATACAGTACATGCTTATGGCTGCCCCATGCAGAATCATACATTCTGATTAACAGGATTATAATATTGCCATTTAGCTTTAAAACAATTTATAATAACATATTATAATATTAGTAAGTTAAATTTTCTCAGAGTTAACAATCGTCTTTCTAACGCCAGATGATTTTACTCAGAACTTTAGGGACACCGCTGGCAGGGGCGAAACTTCAGTATTTCGGCTGGGTGTGAGCTTGGTTTACCCGAACAAAAGGGTGTGACCAAAGTTGTTCCCAACGGACAAACATTTCAGTTGCTAATTAATAAATTCTTTTCCCAAAATTGTTAGCAAGTGGGAGGAGAAGGATGTAAAAAATATACCGGACATAGCATTTTTCACTAACTTTCTAAATAATTTAGTAATTTATAAAATTGTTCAGTAATATTTTCCTAAATTTATCGAAATTTTTCCTACAACTGCTATTTTTCAATCCGAGGCACTAAATATTTTCAAAATTTGCCAGACGAAATTGTATGGATATGCCTGACTAGATAGAGACGGGGGGAGGTCACCCCCCGCCCCCCCAGTAGTCAGTGGCGTAGCTAGCGGTCCCGCCGGGCGGGACTAACAATTTCCAAAAAAATGTGTAATTAAATGTTTTATAGTGAAGCCAAAATCACAGCTTTGCTTATTCTGAAAATTTAAATATTAATTATGGTCATTTTCAGTGCTTTCATTTGTCATTTATTTAAAGTTTACGCAATATTGCTGTCTGCTCTTTGACCTCTTTGTTGTCTAAAGAGTAACTGATACCCTGCAGAATTAGCTAATTTCCACGCAATTTATTGCTTACTCACGCTATTCGTGAATCGCATGTCTCGTGTTCCGCTGATTTTCATGTGGCGGGATATGCAATACTATCTTATACAAGAAATTCTGGTTTCTGGTTGGATAATTGGCGCAGCGCATGCCCAGAACGGTTGTTTTTAATGTCGAAGTCCCGCTATTTTATGAAGGCGGAGGTTGTTAATATTCATGCTGACGAAGCTTTCTGCGCGAGTATTCACAACTGAGACGGTGGTAGGTCATCATATTACTATTCATATCATATTTGATATTGCTTTTGTGATTTGTATACAATGGCTTCAACGAGCGTGACGAACTTTATGGAAAGCCACAGCGGAATTTCATTTCATTCGTTGCTTTTAGCATTATATATGTGGTGCTTTTATCGTTATACGAGGTGCTCTTTACATTACTGTATACGCCGTGCTTCGAGTTCGAGCATTATACGCGATGATTTTGACATATATGGGCTACACGCAACATTGTACGAGGTGATTTTAACATTATACGCGGTGCTTGAGACATAATAATTATACGCGGTCGGTATAACGTTATACGAAGTACCTTCAGCATTGTACGCAGTGGTTTTATCATTATCGCATTGCTGCAACTACTTGCTGTGGTTTCAACATCATACGCGGTGCTTGAGACATTATACGAAATGCAGTGATTAATTATTCGTTGTGCTGCAGACTCAGTGCAGAGGGCAATATTTTTGCCTAGCACAGCACTTCTCTGAGCTCACACAGATCTTCTCTCGGCCATATGGCATTTTTTGTATTTTACGAAGGGAAAATACTTGTGTTAGAGGTGTATAGAAACTTTGCTTAGTGGCATCCTTCCACCCTCGAAATCGCAGGAAATGCCATTTCCGAGGTTCTAGATTTCAAATTTTCTCGGGGAGGCATGCCCCCGAACCCCTCTAGGAAGGTCGCACCTGCGGTGCGAGGGGTCCGCCTTCGGCGGGACGATTTTTCTCAGCCAGCTACGCCACTGCCAGTAGTTTCGCCCCTGATCTGACTGGAGCCCAATCAGTTAAAAGCTACATCCCAATTAATGCACTTGAGGGTCATCTGCTATTGAGATGATTTTACTTGTGAAGGGGAGAGTCTTAATTGCACTTTTTAAAGTGAAAAAAATGGTTGATTAACATATTGCTCATTTTAGTGTGAAGAATATAAGAAGAGTCCACTAAACAACAGCTTCTGTCATTCAATTTGCATAGAAAATGATTTCACAATTGAAGAATGTATATCGAGTACTACATTTAACAAAAGTGTTTTTGCTGTAAAAATCAATGATCACAACACTATACTTAAAGTCAATATGCAATGGTTCAACCATGTTAAAAATTATTTAGCCATGAAGCCCTTAGCAATATTCAATGCGACTGCATTCTTCAGAGATATTGTATCAAACTATTTTGGAAACAATTGTTCAGAGTGCAAAGGGCTGGTACAAAAGCTCATTATCATGGCAGACTCGGATAAGAATGGCAACACCAGCCAGACAGAAGCTATATGGTTTGGAAGCTTACTTTTAACCCAAGAAACTTTCATGTTAGCAGCTATGAACGAGTCCAGATCAACTGTTAATTTAAATGGTTATTGTGGAGCACTTTATGCAGTTGAAAAAGTACACATTTCTAGTTCGTATCTAGTGGATACCTCCAAAGCTTTCACAGATTTCTGGGGGCTGCCTGAATTTGCCGAACCAATTGAGTCGTTTTTTAAGGACATTTTAGGTGAATTGAGGAACAACTATACATGGTTTGAAACGCTACATGAATACATCTATATATTTATTAAGAGATTAAGACAGGATAAAGTACCATCGCTTCAACAGAGAATACAGTTTATATTAGGTAAGTTGTTTGGCTTGCAAAAATATAGTGGTATAGTTTCAATTAGCCTTTCTCACGAAGGCCAAATTCGCCATTTTTGGGGTACTTTTTGAAAACGACGTGAAAAATCTAAGCGATATGAAAACATTTTTTTTTCAAATATTTAACTTACTCACAAATCTCTTATTCACTGCATACAACCTCAGATTTGGGCAATACCCCCAAAAATGGCGGTGTGAGAAAGGCTACTTGCTAATTTATTACATGAAATTTTCGAACTGTTTAAATTTTACAGAAAAGCATAGAACATCAGCATTCAGCAATACATATTTTCACTTTGATCTATCATTTAACCTTTCCAGAGGCGTAGGAGGAACGGTGGGTCTGTACCCCCCCCCCCCACTTTTCTTCAAGACCAATTATGTAATTGTTTCAAAACTAAGGATAACGGGGGGGGGCTGATCGTACCTCGCTCTCGTTTTGGGCTGGCTACGCTCCTGAACCTTGCTCAAGTGGAGGTGCAAATCAACTCTGGAGAGATGCGCACCTTCCTGCACCCCCGTCAAAATCCTGCCATGTTTTTTTATGGGCACCCATTCAAGGTTTTCTGATATTTGGGTGGAACGAAGCTCATAACGCACTTCGTGCTCTGTTTGTTCCTGTAGGTTCGCTAGAAATGCTTTCCAGTTTGGTCTCGTTCCAATACGGCGAAGTTATGTGGTGCGATATTTTATACGAAAACATTGGCTTTACTAACACTGAAAAATTCTCCTCAGTCAAGCTTACAGATCTAGATGAAGTTTTCTCTGTGCGAAAAGTTTTTCAAAATGTGAGCAAAAACGACAACAAAAAGTGCGCCACAAATACAGACTGTTTGGGCGAAAATTATGATGTTGGCCTATACTACCAACACGCATGCTCCCCATACTGTCAGAATACTAGCCTCTGCAGCCATAGGCCGCAAAAGTCTAATCTGGGTTATCTATGCGACACTTTGTTTTTTGATGTAATATTTAACCCTGTGGTAATGGCACTGTCAGAGCAAGTGATGTCTAACCGTATTGGATCGACGATTTATTGGATATTAAACGACTGCGCTAAGTCTGTGGAGTGGAAAACTATTGGCGAATATTTGGCGAGCATTGGTACAGTACACGCAAAGTTTAGAAATGTGACAATTATGCTAGATATGGATAAAAATTAAATACTTTTTGCACCATGAAGATTATAAAAGAATAGAGCGGGCATTGCAGGAGAAGTTCAGGCAAATCCTCAGGGTTTGAGATTGGAAAAATTGAAGCTTCAATCAGTGACAAAACCCTTTGGACAAAATAGCAAAAGAGCGTACGCGTTTACAACAACTTGCCAGCGACCCAACATTGTTTAGGGTGGGGGAGGGAGGGATAGTGTTACTATGCTAACAGTATTTGGAAATGCGCAGATATAGATATATCACGTCCAAAAACCTTTTATCACTGATTGTTGCTAAGGTATCCCACCAGTATCCGTCGGAGCACCTATAGTTAGCAGGCTTTTTCTGACACGGCCACAAAATTGAATATAGCGCCTGAGTGGAAGAAATATATTATTGTCACTACCGTTGTTTCTTCTTTATTCTTCGAAATATTTTCATTGTTATAAATACAAGAGATGACAGGACTAACACCAGGTATCTTATTTTTATCCGAAAAAAGATTTTGACACAGATAAGAATTTTTCTCAGTCATGGTGGTTGATATTATAATTAGAACAGTACTTTAAATTTAATTTATAGTACATATTGTTCAAGTACTGATATTGCGTTCTGTACTTTTTAATACTCAAGTTGGGATGTCATTAGTTGAAATACCTAGTTCGTTTGCTTTAAATGATCCATTATTGAAAATATTGCTCATACATGTACGTACAAAATCGCTATACACTTGTTTCTATCTGGCAGGCGCTGCGTTAGGGGGCTTGCTTTTCTGGCAGGCGCTGCGTTAGAGGGGGAGTAGTCAGTCGGCAAGTTGTTTTCCCAGTCAGCAAAAAACGTGAATTTGGATAGCAAGTAGCCAAAATAAAATATTTGAATTCAACCGTAGTTATACAGTTATATATTATTATAATCAGTTAATACTATTAGGACTAGTTAAGTTACAATATGGATTAGTAAAGCAGCATGACAGCATGTGTATGCAAAGCACCCATCCAGGCAATATAAATTCATTATATAAAATTTGGTTGTTGTTGGTGTTCTATTTGAATTTTACGCATGCATGTTTACTTGGTTAACGAGTCTGCAAAGTTACAAAACGACTTGGCAAAATTTCACTTACACCAACACTCTTCAAATAAAAATAGGGCTAGTGTTGCCCTTGATTTTCTGGCGTTTAATATGTTAACCTGTCATATTATATATTTCAGGTCGGCTATATTGCGAGTCACAACACAGAACCCCAGGTTAATAGTTGTTTATATTTTAGCCCGCATAGCATTGGGCCGTGCGCGCCGGCTCTTGGGGGTTACTATTAAAAATAGAAGGAAGGCGACAGCGGCCCAAAATAGGTCAGACCGTAAACTCTGAAAACTGAAAAGAACGATGCTTTAATCAAAGAGCTTAAATTCGCTTCAAAATACGCGAAGGAACGACAAAATTCAGTGTGTAGGAGAAAACATTTGAATATGTTTGTCAATTCGTTGTCCAATCAGGTTCGAGTTGGTTCGACTTCCTGTTTACTGCACACTACCTACATGCCTCGGACTTATTTTGAGCGAATTTTGTCGTTCCTTCGCACATTTTTAATCGAATTTAAGCTTTTTTATTAATTAAAGCATCATTGTTTTGAGAGTTGCATGTTATCATACTTGCCGGGGATATCGATTAAATTCGAAAGAAATCCATTTAGAGTCGAAAAATCGAGGAACGTTTTGAGAACATTTTCTTTCCAGAAATGGCTAATTCCGGGGGGGGGGGGCGGCGATGGGCACTGATGGAATTGACTGATACATTCAGGGTGTATAAAAAAACACTGAACAGATTTGAAATAGCTCTCAATTTCGCAAAACAGCTATTAGTATCCAGCTTTTTATGTATATAGCTTCTTTGGGTACTTATAATGTAGAATGAAAAAAATTTCTCGAACTCAAATTTTGTGAACGGGGGGGGGGTATCTTTTCCAACAAACTAAAAATGGCTTGCGCACGAAATTTAAAAGCTTTAAACATATTTTGAGTTAATAGATGGAAAATTTGTTGGGTTTTTAATTCCTGTACAAAATTTCAGACAATTTGCTTTAGTTTAAGCCCTTTATCTATTCATTTTTTCCTAAAAAATCAGCCTTTCGCATGCTTAATTGCATATTGCTGACATACGCAAATTAGGCAAAGGCATTAATTAAGCATGCAAATAGCTGATTTTTAGGAAAATATGAAAGTTTGCGTGAATAGTTAAAGGGGCTTAAACTACAGCAAATTGTCTGAAATTTTGTACAGTAATTAAAAACCCAACCAATTTTCTATCTAGGCCAAAAAAAAATATGTGGGTTTCCGGTTTCCCGACCCTACCTAGCTTTTGGACGTCGAAATCCCGACCCTAAACTTTTTTATTGGATCATGCTTGTAAGTGTTTCCACTTAGAGGAAAAAGTTTGTGGATGATTCAAATTTGAGGCAATATTAGGGAAATTTATCTTTGGATGTGGAAGCACTGACTAAACAAAATGGCGTCCGGTTGTTAGAAAAATTTAAAAAAAAGTTTAAAAAAAAAAGTTAAAACCGACCTACCCTACCTAAGTTTTTATAAGAAGAAACCGGAAACCCACATTTTTTTTTTTGGCCCTATTAACTCAAAATATGATTAAAGCTTTTAAATTTCGTGCGCAAGCCATTTTTAGTTTGTTGGAAAAGAGTCAAAAGACACCTGGTTCACAAAATTGAGTTCGAGAAATTTTTTTCATTCTATATTTTAAGTACCCAAAGAAGCTATATACATAAAAAACTGGGTACTAATAGCTGTTTTGCGAAATTGAGAGCAATTTCAAATCTGTTCAGTTTCTTTTTTATACACCCTGTATAATTAAGAAATTCTTATCTGTGCCTAAGTCTTTTTTCAGATAAAAATACTGCTATTTGCAAACTTCCATTAGGCGTGCGATTTTTTTCATGTTTGTTTACGTTTCGAACGTTCAGGTTTTTGACCGGAAAACGTTAACGTTTTGAGCAAGCCAATCAACGTTTGGCGGTGTGTTCAATGAAACTTTGCTAATATCGTGGCAAACGTTGATTGGCTTGCTCAAAACGTTACTGTAACGTTTTCGGTCAAAAACCTGAACGTTTGAAACGTAAACAAACATGAAAAAAATCGCACGCCTAATGGAAGCTTGCAAATAGCAGTAAGATACCTGGTGTTTCCTGTCATCTCTTGTATTTATAACAATAAAAATATTCTGGCTCTTTGCGAGGCAAAAGAAACGAGAGGCGAGAAGGAAAAGCCTGTGGTCATATCGGTTGCAAATCCCACTTCCACACTTGAATAGGTTCAGAATTTGAATCTCGCATGTGATTGGCCATTTGTAAAAATATGTCAATCTGGTTTGGGAAATAAACATTACTGTAAGCTAATTATAGCTATAATACAGGCAAATACCATGCCGATACTTACCAAATGCTAGCCCCAAAATTGACCAAAACTGGCAAAGCCAGCCGAGTAAAGGCCTGATCATGAGTCTAGGCTGCCACTACTGGACATTGCCAATTCACCACAAATGCGTACCGAAACCTATACTCGCTAGGGCACAGTGCCCCAGCTAGGGCACAGTGCCCCCAGCGAGTCACAAGACGCTTGCTAAGCGTTTACTCGAGCTACTGTAAAGGAGTGTTTTTGCTGGAGCTTTTAGAAGCGCAGAGTTTGCATTTGTAAAATATCGTATTCACATCAAGATTTACTTCATACATTTTACATCCTACTCGTTGTTAAAGTGCATTATTTAGGAGTTAATTTAGCGAGCTACCTTGTGGCGTGGTGGTTTTAAGGCGCCGCTTTCAAAGCGTAATACTGTTTTATTTTCAAATTTTAAATATTTTTTTTCAATTTCTTTTGAGTCTGAATTTAAGGTTCATATATAGGTCTTAGGATTAGCCGATTAGGATTTAGGGTTTTGTGCGGTAGGTTTATTTTTTTAAAGAGAATATTTAACACTTTAGGACTAAATTTCCTGACTGCCGGTGTCCCAGTTGATTTGGACCCCCGTAGATTTGGACCCCCGGTCCATATCCACTAGTAGATTTGGACCGGCCCAAATCTACTAGTGGATATGGACCCCCGGGGGTCCAAATCTACTAGTAAATATGGACCCCCGTTGGCGGATTTGGACCACCTTCAAAAGTTAAATATATGTAATGTGAACACAATAATATAAACCAAATTCATAATAGCGATCAATCTGAAGTATTTAGTCACTTTAAATATTTGTGATAAAGGCCACAAAACGTAAAATAGAAAAATAGAATACAATCGTAGAAATTGCATACAGCATTTGGATCGACACGAAACACGATTTTCATGAATGTTTTTAAACAATAAGTTGGCGACTCATCTGAATGGAAGCCTGCAACTATCCACTAATGGTTTTAAGAAAAGCTATAGAAATAGAATATTAGAGCAACGCGATTCCATGAAATTTTTTAAACAATAGTTGAAGTGATGGCGACTCATCTAAATGGAAGCCTTTTTAGCTATTTTGCTCATATAAACGTAATATTGCGTATATACATGAGTTTTTAGTGTGTTTATTTATCCTTTTATAGTTGTATACACGCTTTCCATGCATTTGGACCTTTCTACTTTACTTGTAGTTTAATATTTTTGAATTTGGATCTCACTGGCAATAAAAAGTTTTCTATTCACAATAAATGACTATGTGTGGTTGATAAGTAGCTACGGGTATCGGAAAACTAATTGAATTTAACATATTCACCGTTATTGGGGTTGTTCTTAGTGTAGAAAATTGTTTAAAAAAGGGGGTCCATATCCGCTAAAGGGGGTCCATATCTGCTAGGAGATTTGGACCGGGGGGTCCATATCTACTAGGAGATTTGGACCGGGGGGTCCAAATCTACTGGGGGGTCCAAATCCGCTGTGACACCGGGCGCGTAGTATTTTGAAAATACTGCCCCGGCTGCCGCATGTAGACTAGTATATATAAACTAGATCGAGCACACAAAATATCAACTATTATGCGTTTATACTACAGTCGTTTTATAGTTTTGATCGAGTACACCGAATACGCGCCGAATACGTCACTTTTGATCGAGTACGCTTAGAAAGCGTATACATTCACAAATACTTGATCGAGTACGCATATTAAAATGCACTATTATAGTACTGAGTACAGTCCTCAGAGTGCTCAGAGCCATATTCATAGATAGAGTAAACAAAGTTAGCACGAAGAGCAGGAAGTCGAATGAGCCATTGAACGCCAATAAAGATAATCACAAATAACTGATCACATGTGTTCACGATTTGTTTCGATTGGTCAGAATTAAGAGAGGCCACGTGGGAGAATAAGTCTTGCGCGAAAAAAACCCGGCGAAACAATGAACAATGACTCTCGCTTTCGAGTAGCGAGTACTAATAATTTAACTGACTCGAATATATTTCAGTAAATTCCAAGAAACTTTATCCAGTCCTGGTTTTGAGATAAGTGCATATATTCAAAATAATTGACGAAGATGGCAAATCGGCGAGGTCGAGGGCAACAACAGCAACATTTGCAGCTACAAATACCCTTATTACTACGAATAATAATAATGGGACCAGTTTACTTAGGGGTTGCTTTCGCTTTAATGAAAGTCGTGGACTCACTACAAGTGTTGCTTAACTCGCTTTCATTTGAGATGTTCGAAGATGTATTTAATGGCATTTATTATCAATTTTTGTACTGTTATACTTATTGTTCTAGAACCAAAGTGCGTAATGTTGTTCAAAATTTAGGTAACCAAGTTCATGTCAAGTTTTGCGATGTGGTGATAACCCTTATCGATAATTCAAGTTTGCTACTTGATTACCTCATGACTTGTATTTACAACATTACTTTACGATTCTTAGAAATAATTTGGCAGGTACTTAATAAGTTACTTAACTATGCAACCTACATCGGTGGTTGGTTTCATGGAAATATACTCCAATTTGTTACACTATTGGATGCTCATTTTCCTGGTGGGATTCCACTAATTGGGCTATTCCATTTAATATCCGTACCCCCCCTGTCGAGGATACCTGGAATTCTTCAGGGGTAGGGTGTTTTGAGCTTGGAATTCTTCAGGGGTAGGGTGTTTTGAGTTTGGAATTCTTCAGGGGTAGATTGTTTTGAGCTTGGAATTCTTCAGTGGTAAAGGATTTTGAGTTTGGAATTCTTCAGGGGTACAGTGTTTTTAGCTTGGAATTCTTCAGGGGTAAAGTGTTTTGAGCTTGGAATTCTTCAGGGTAGATTGTTTTGAGCTTGGAATTCTTCAGGGGTACAGTGTTTTGAGCTTGGAATTCTTCAGGGGTACAGTGTTTTGAGTTTGGAATTCTTCAGGGGTACAGTGTTTTGAGCTTGGAATTCTTCAGGGGTACAGTGTTTTGAGCTTGGAATTCTTCAGGGGTACAGTGTTTTGAGCTTGGAATTCTTCAGGGGTACAGTGTTTTGAGTTTGGAATTCTTAAGGGGTAAATGATTTTGAGTTTGGAATTCTTCAGGGGTAGGGTGTTTTGAGCTTGGAATTCTTCAGGGGTAGGGTGTTTTGAGTTTGGAATTCTTCAGGGGTAGAGTGTTTTGAGTTTGGAATTCTTCAGGGGTAGGGTGTTTTGAGTTTGGAATTCTTCATGGGTAGAGTGTTTTGAGCTTGGAATTCTTCAGGGGTAGGGTGTTTTGAGTTTGGAATTCTTCAGGGGTAAAGGATTTTGAGTTTGGAATTCTTCAGGGGTACAGTGTTTTGAGCTTGGAATTCTTCAGGGGTAAAGGAATTTGAGTTTGGAATTCTTCAGGGGTACAGTGTTTTGAGTTTGGAATTCTTCAGGGGTACAGTGTTTTGAGCTTGGAATTCTTCAGGGGTACAGTGTTTTGAGTTTGGAATTCTTCAGGGGTAAAGGATTTTGAGCTTGGAATTCTTCAGGGGTAAAGTGTTTTGAGTTTGGAATTCTTCAGGGGTAGAGGATTCGAGCTTGGAATTCTTCAGGGGTAAAGAGGTTTGAGATCGAAATTTTTCAGAGTTTGGAATTCTTCAGGGGTAAAGTGTTTTGAGCTTGGAATTCTTCAGGGGTACAGTGTTTTGAGCTTGGAATTCTTCAGGGGTAGGGTGTTTTGAGTTTGGAATTCTTCAGGGGTAGAGTGTTTTGAGCTTGGAATTCTTCAGGGGTAAAGAGGTTTGAGATCGAAATTTTTCTGAGTTTGGAATTCTTCAGGGGTAAAGTGTTTTGAGTTTGGAATTCTTCAGGGGTAGAGTGTTTTGAGCTTGGAATTCTT